CCTCCATTTTGCCCCTCAGGTAGCTTACACACACACCTACACACCTTTCCTTTGTCCTCAAAGGAGCACCCCCACACACACCTTTTCTCCTTCAAATTCAGCCACACGCTACTCTCTGCACATGTCCACAATCACACACAGAGGCCAAAAGGTGATTGGATGTAACAATAACATTTAATCAACTGGATTAACTGTTTCTTGTAGATTTTCCAAGTGCTATGATCCCATCATTTAAGCCTTTATTACTTTTTCTTATTTTGCTAGCTTTTAAAAAATTATTCACATTGCATATCTGTAGTGTGTTCTCGATGTTTTGGTGGGTGTGTTTCTGTAGTCAAATAAGGGATGAGGTAAATCCATAAAGCTCCATAAAGTGACTCCCATGCACATCCCAGCTTTCATTTCTATCAGATTTTGCAGACTGACAGCAAGTCCTCACTGACTGGGTAAGTTCAAGACAGATGCGATAAGCAGTCTTTAGCACAGAATGATTATGTATGATGTAAATTCTCAAGATTTACTTTGTGTAATTGATATTATTCAATGTCACAAATGAAGACAAACGAATTAAACTTGTGAAAACTTGGTAGATATTTACATAAGAAATCTATAAATCAATATCCTTTAACTTGGGCAATGTGTTTGGTATCATAAACAGGCAAATAGAGAACAACTTTAAGTCTTTAAAAAAACTGAATCATTATTGTAGTAGTCTAGGTATGTCTCAAAAGTATTCAAGCCATGTTAGACAAGCTGCAAAGAAATGAGGTAATTGAGCCATTTTATTAAGGATCACTTCTCAGATCAAGTAAGAGAAAATGAATCTTCATCTGGACTTTCCTCTGAGTTGATTTCCAGACGTTTGTCTGTATTTCGGGCAGCATGTTGATGTGATGTTTAGCACTGTCACCTTTCGGCAATAACTAAGAAATCTCTGTGTTCTTTCCGGGTACTCTAGATTCCTCACACAGTCCAAAGACATGCATGATTATTCGGCTGGTGAGTCTGTGTTAATCCTGAACAGACTGGCGACCTGTGCAGCATGTGGCCTGCCTCTCACCCTATGAGGGGTGTGATAGGCTCCTGACCTTGAATTAGATTATCAGAATAACATTGTTTAATGGATGGGTGGATATCTGTATATTAGTAGGTGTACAGTATAGATGATTCTGTCTGCTGGCAGTATACATCAGTACTGCCAAAGTACCATGATACAAATAATGTGATTATTAACTTTGAATATATACACTTTAATATTACTGAAGGTGTGTTAGTCTGTAAGTGCTTATCATATGTTTGCGGTCTTCTTATCTGGTGTTATGTAAAATTTTTGTCCTAAACTTTCTCAGTTTTCCCTCCTTTTCAGTTGCCAGCCATGGCCCTGACAATTCTTCTGTCACAGCTTTTAGGTATGTTTTTAACTGATTTATCATTGCTAGAAATCTTAAGAGTTTGTCTAAATTATAAAATAAATACCTTTCTTGTCACCATTGATATTGATGTTACTTCCTGCCCAAAACATGGAATTGACTTACTTTAGTTTGTGGTCCTCATTGTATGTAAAAACACATTTAAAAGTTGTAATGCTGTGTAAATTAGCGATTTTATTCATATCTGCATATTTCCTCAGCATTTTAATTTATTTATTTACTTTAAAATGAATTATAATACATACATAAATAAATGCAAAATCCAGACGTAATCTTGTGATGTTTTTTTGTTACAGCAACAACCCTACCAGTCTTTGCTCAAGGTTCCAGTACAGAGTGCAAATGCGAACATAAAAAAATAGAACGTTTAACAGCTGGTAATTATACTTGGAACATTGACGATGTTACACTGGAAATCATGTCTGAAGCATTGGATCAGTGTATGCTAAATAGCTCTGAGATGTGCCTTGATATTAAATACAAAAACAATAAATGTGTCCATTTGTGTCTGAAGAAGGAGGGAGATGGTAAGTACTTCAAACCAGAACAGTCTGTTATTTTCTCTACAAAATAATTTGCCTTTGTGTAAGATATTAAGCGAGATATGCGAACTGTTCACATAACACATAATATATATTTACATTAGGAAAAGTAACCAGTGAGTGTGGGAAACAGGAATGTTTAGAATAGAATAGAATTAGAATTCAACTTTATTGTCATTGCACATGCACAGGTACAGGGCAACGAAATGTTTAAAGATTTTAAATACATCTATACTTTAACTTGTTGATTTTTACATTTTGTTTGTATCAGGAAGCATTAACCTGGCTTGTGATGCTAAAGATAACTGCGAGGGAAGCTCCACCTCCAAACCATTGCAAGTCTTTGTCAACAACCAGTTTATCAACACTGCACAACAGTAAATATGTCTTAGTTGTACTCAGTTATTAAACATTGCTGCAGTATTATTTTTAAGAATTGCTTGTGATGCATGCTTTTTCATCACCAGCTGTACATTTTTTTTCTTCCACAGAAAAATCTGTTTGCCATTCTCACCTCCACAGAATAATAAAAAAGTACAGATTAAATTTAAATGTGCTCAAAACAATGTTAGTCTATGTGCTGATAATGATAACAGTAAGTTTTATTTAACACAATAAATGCTCGGGCTGCTTTAAGAAAGAAGATGTGAAATCTTAAGTGTATGTAAAATATATGATTTTGCATTTTTGTGTCCAGGTACAAATTTGAATCTCTACCAGGAAGCAAAAAGTTGGATTGATGCAATGGAGCACTGCCAGAGAGGGGATTCCTCTGTAGTTGAAATTACCAACCAGACAGATAATGATCAATTAAAGGGTCTGTGGAAATATGCAAAAGATTTACAGAATGGGGTGTGGATTGGCCTAGAACGGTCAATTTTTGGCAAGAATCCTGAGTGGAAGTGGATTTCAGGGTCTAAAGTGGAGTATAATCAGTGGAAAAACAGCTATCCTCTCAACTCCTTAAACTACAACTGTGGAAAGATAATCTTGGTTAATGAGACAAAAGAAATCAAGTGGATGAATGACAACTGTCATGACAAATTGCCTTTCATCTGTAAAAGTAAGTTGCTCTTTATTTTGCAGTTAGACACAAGAAGCAGATTGGTATTATTATTTTTTCTCTTCTTTTCCAGGTTTGAATGAAATACCCTGCCATAATCATGTGACTACACTGGATGCAGGTATATTAACTGAAAGTTTAAATGTTTGCAGTTTGGAAGCACAATTTTCCTCCTCATTTTGTTTTGCATTCTTTTAATCTATATAAGGATTGTTTTATATTTTGGGCTACAGAGATTTGCATGGACCATGATATACACCACAGCTCCCCCGAGAATGATTGCAGAGAATGTCTCAATATCCCCACAGTTGAGGTGAGAGTGGGTGCCAAGGGTACATGGAGGTCTGGGACCCTCTGTGTTGGCCGCTGCCCCTATAAATAATAAAATACCAAAGATCTCTTGTGATTGTGGAAAACATGAGACAGCTGGAGAATTGCATACATATAGAATATACATATTGTATAATGCTGTTTAATGTTTAGAGAAAAATTAATAAGAGGGTCAATATATAGAAATGCTGAATTTTTCAATGGTGTTTGCATGTAAAAGGTAAATCTTTTTTGAACGTAATTTTTGTTGTATGACATAATATATATTTAGTTAAAAATAAGTAAATGAATACATGTTTGATATTTATAATTTATTTGTTTTTCTGTCAAACTGAAAAACTTTAATCTTTCCATGTTGTATGTATTCAACTGAATTTTTCTACTTAAAACATTAAAAGAAGTTCCACAATAACGGAAAGAAATAGTGATTGTGTGCTCTGTGGACTGTGATGCCGTCAGACGCTGAGGTCATGGCACTCCAATTCCCGGCATCCAAGACTAGTTTGTGACATAGAATATGGAAAGAGCCTGAGCTGGTGCTTGATTTTTTGTACATAACGTTTGTGCTATCTGTATGTATATGTACACTGCATGGATATCTTTCTGCAATCCTTCCTGACTGATGAATTGTAAAATATTATTCTGTAATTGAATAAACATCTATTATCAACAATTATTTTTTATTATTAGGTGAAAAATACAAGTGGCGGAGGAATTTTTTTTGAACCATTTTTTTCCGAAAAGAAACAATACACTACTGAAAACACATAGGTACACATAAAACTGTATTACTGGAAAATTGTGCATAAAGTATGAGTAAAAATGATCTAAGGAGCTTGAAAAGAAAGCGACTGGACTAAGTTTCTTGAAGATGTTTCACCTCTCATCCAAGAAGCTTCTTCAGTTCATGAGTGAAAGAGAAAAAACTATTTATGCAGAGAAATGTTTAGCATCAGCGTTAAAGTAATTAATATTACTGCTAAATAGGTTTAAGATTGACTCATTTTAAGCACTTACAATACAGCTACAATACTAAATTACTAAAGCTAGGTTTATTTTCTAATGCTAGCTCTGTTTCCATAAGATTCATAGAGATGTGCAAGCAGACCAACGGCAGCTTGCATCACACACTGCATTCATCCAAAATGCACATGTGCAAATCACCAAAAAGAAGCTGCTGGACTCTTGACCAGCAACAGTCAGTGTTAACAAAAGACAAATCCTCAGAGACAGAAAAAAAGTTATGTGAGTTTGAAATGACAGCTTTCAGCATAGCTGGACTGGCCATCGAGCATACCGGGCATTTGCCCGGTGGGCCGATGGTGATTTTTTGTTTTTTATGGGCTGATGGTTTTTGTTTGTTTTGTTTTTTTTCGTAATGGTATAAACACTGAAAGCTGGTGGATTGGCCAGATGCTGGGGGATGTGTATAACTCGTTTGGTGGTGGCTATTGCGGAGCTTCCACAGATTCCATAACATTAGCAAGTGGTGGAGGCTGGCAGGGGAGGCAGGAGGACCCGAGGCGGCCGCCGATCCGAGTGTCAGGTGAACTGAACTTTAGGTGAGAAGTTATGACCTGCAGTCTATCTGGGTCAGATATAAACCAAGTTTAGGTGAAGTTTATTTTCGTTATGCTGAGTTTTTACAATCAGTTACAATAACTCTAACTGCGTACTAGGTAGCATGATGGAGTTTCTATACTGCTGGGTGGGTGCTTTGATGTTACTGATAAGTGTTGTGCCAAAAAGTGATTGTCTGCCAGAAAGTGATTGCCGTCCGCGGGAGCGCGCGCGGCCACTTAAAGCTGCAGTGCCCGGATTACTTGCGTTGACAGCTACTTCCGTGCAACTGATATAATGTGGGAAAAAACCCAAACACATTTATGCCTTTGTTATTAGTCAAATGTATGCATTTATGGAACTTTAACGTTTCTTGTAACCGAATTATGACGCTTGTCAGAAGGTTGCTTTCAGTGTGTAGCGCAGTCACGAATGACTACACGCATCACGATGGAATAATTAATGCCTACAGCTTTAGTATGTCTACTCTCGTTGTTCATATTTGTTATAAGACTGTCGAATAGTAGTTAAAACAATAAAGACCTATTGTGCCAGTATCACCATGACTCTTTCTTGTTTGTTCAGAATAACGGCTGAGAACATGGCATTTTAGCGCTACCAAAAATGATTGTGGTCTATAACTTGTGACTGAAACAATATTTCTGCTTCAAACTTGTTGGGTATCATCCAGAAGGGCTACATGTTCCATATTATATCCCAAACAGTCCATTAGAACTGCTGAATAACTTGAACATGAACAATAAAACTGATAATATGCCATTTTCAAGCTGCCAAAAAGGGATTGTGCACTATAACTTGGCAGAATCGTCTCGTATTCACAGAAAATATTACGCGTTTCGTATTGAGCTGAAAAGGAACGGGATTTGTCCCGTACTTCAGCTACAATGAAAAAGACACAAAGCTTGATTTATTCTGTCGTTATGCTGCACAGCTGCATCTTCTTCTCTCATTCTCTCCGCCCCTCTCCTGTTGTTATTTCAATCATGAAACTGATCAATGATCAGCTGATCAGCTTTTCTGTTCCAAGTCCCCTCTCTCTTATTATTTTTATCGCCCACTTTGCACCAGAAAGAAGAAAGCAGCAGAGGTCGCGTTAACAACAGCAGCACGTTTAAGCTTGATCAGGTGTTGTTAGAATTTATTTAATATTACTGTCTACTATCAGCTGATGTTTGCTGGAGCCACAGCTGTAAAAGCTGCTGGTCATGATGTCGGTTTGTATATCTAGTGAGAGGGTAACATGAAGATGAAACCAGGAGATGTCCTGAATCATCAGCTGAACAGGTGATGGAGAAACAGGTTCACCTTTTAGGTGACACGAATGAGTTGAAGGGAAGTTATGAACTGTTTCTGAGAGACGAATAACACCAGGATCCTTTTTTACATAGCTGACAGCGGGTCTAGCAAAGTTTTGCCAGGGGGCCAGGTAGGGCATTAATAGGGAAAAGGGGGCACAAAAAATACTTTTCTTTCTTATTCTCATTTAAAATATCTCGCTTTTAACAAATAATTATCTGAATCTTACAACAAACGTTTTCATCTGATGTAAAATGTATAGAAATCCATTATTGTACATAGTAATTTTTTTCAGGGGCCAATCATAATTTCTTCAGTGTAAAAAATTCTTGTGTGTAAAATTTCTCACCTGTCTTTCTGTCACCTTTCACTTTTTAAAGGTTGCCATGTTTAAAAAAAATATTTTGCCCTGCCATGCTGTTTATTGATGTGGTAAATGAATGGTTTATGAAAATATATCTAAATCTGTCATCAGTAATCAGTAATGATCATGTCTCACCTCTAGTCTTCTCTGTCTTAATTTCAGGGTTCCACCATGTGTTGTAGATAGTTCAGGAGGTTAACTGACCAAGCAGTTTTTGGGTTTCTGTATGTTTAGAATAACAGCATAGGGAGGATGGTGTTTATGTATCAATATAACAAACTTTAAGTTTATTAGATTTATACATATATGCCAACATGACAATTTATATCACTGTGACAACAGCGTTTGTTTTCATTCAAAGGCTTTATGATTTTTCCTATAATACCATGGTGGGCCGGTCTCTAGTCAAAATGCCCGGGCTGATTTTTTGTCCAAGTCCAGCCCTGTATGCACATTCCAGCTTTCTATCAGATTTTGCAGACTGACAGCAAGTCCTCACTGACTGGTTAAGTCCAAGGCAGATGCAATGAGCAGTCATTACCACAGAATGATTATGTATGCAGTAAATTCTCAAGATTTACTTTGTATAATTGAAATTATACAATATAGCAAAAGAGGAAAAATTAAATTTGCAACTCAATTATTGTGATAGTACT